ATGTACTCTCCACTGAGCCACAGTCCCCTCCCCTGGGTCCAATTCTCTCTCATTCAGTTGCTACCTGGCCCCTGTAGGCATTTATGCTTTGATCCTCAGTTGAGGTGCTACCCTGACTAGCCAGGTCCCACACACTAATTTCTTCAAGAGAGATTTCAGCTACCATAGATTTTCATGTAAAGAAAACAGATTCTTATGACAAATCGGTTTTAGTTGAGCTAAATGCTCACTAAACTATAAAATTAAACTTCTTAGAAAAAAATTGTTCACATAAGAAAATAAGCAGGTTTAATTATTCAACAAAATGGGCTTCCATTAAAAAAATCACAAATATATATTAGCAGATATTTTTTTTAGAAAGCTAATTATTTTCCATCTGGGAGGTAGACAATAGCTGGGACAGTATTTACAAAGTCTCCATACTCTTCTGAATTAGGTTTTTCATCCTCTTTTAGGAAAAAAAGAATAGGCCAACTATTGAGATTAAATCTTCAATTTACAACCTCCTTTAAATCACTCAGTAAGTAGTACTCTTTGGCATATATTTAGAGTAATAGTTATAGTATTTTTTGAGTGGCAGTATGAAATATACAGTTTATTAGAAGAATCTTTGAAACATTAAACCAACTTGACCCTTTCAGATGCCATTGTGCTTGCTTGTGATGCCAAGAACTGTGTCTGACTCCCTATGACCTTAGGGGAGGCACTCTGTCACACCCTGATCCCCAGCAATGATAGTATTCTTAACTCGGTCAGACCCAACACCACATTATTGTAGTTATTGTAGCGAATGATTTGAAATATCCCACTTTACTAGTCTAAATGGAATTCACAGATCATGTGAACCATGCACACATAATTTAAACATAAAAGATATTATAAGTAATATATTTAAATATGTTTAATAATATGTATTTAAGTTAGTAAATCTTAGAACACGATCTCACCAGAAGATATAGTTAAATCCTTGCACCTACTTCGTTTTTTAATGTATTGATTTGGAGAGAGAAACACTGATTTGTTATTCCACTTATTTATGCATTTATTTATTTGTGGATTCTCTGACTGAGGGTTGAACCCACAACCTTATCATATTGGGACCAACCCAGTTACCAGGCCAAGGCCAAAAGGTGATCAGAAGCAATTCCATACACTACAGAGAAGATAAAATGGTAGAGTTACAAGTAGACGACACAGTAAAAAATAGTATAATCGCTTATATTAAAACTGTAAAGAATATCTCATATCAAAAGAATGGAAAGAGAAGTCACAAACTGGGAGAAAATGTTTGCAAAAGAGACATCTGGTAAATGACTGTTGTCCAAAATATACAGAGAACATAATACAGAAATATGAAAGGAACTCTTAAAACTTAATAAGAAAAATTACCTGGTTAAAAAGAAGCTAAAGACTTTAACAGACACCACACCAGAATAGATAGACAGATGGCAAATAAGCACATGAAAAGATGCTCCACATCAGTTGCCATCAGGGAAATGCAAATTAAAACAAGGACGTACCACTATACGTCTATTAGAACTGTCAAAATCCGGAACACTGACACCACATGCTGATGATGGGGAGCAACGAGAATTTTCCTTCATTGCTGGTGGGAATGCAACATGGTACAGCAACTTTGGATGGCAGTGGCTTTCTAATAAAACTAAACATGTTCTGACCATAAAATTCATCAGTTGTACCCCTTGGTGTTGACCCAAAGAATTTGAAAACATGTCCACACAAAAACTTGCATTTGGATGTTTATGGCATCTTTACTCATAAGTGCCAAACCTGGAAGTAACCAGCATGTCCTTCAGTAGGTAAATGGATATATGGTGATAGGTTGGATAATGGTATGTTATTCAATGCTAAAGGGAAGTGAGCTGTCAAGCTCTGAAAAGACATGGAGTAAACTTAAGTGCATAGTACTCAGTGAAAGAAGCCAAAATGAAAAAGCCACTTACTGTGTGATTCCACCAATATGACATTCTGGAAAAGGCAAAGCTATGGAGAGAGTAAAGGGAGCAGTGGTTGCCAGGAGTTGGGGAGAGGGGACAGTGAATAGGCCAAGCACATGGGGTATGTAACCAGGCAGTGAAAATACTCTGTGTAATGCTGTAATAGTGGATGCATGTCCTTATACACTTATCCAAACTCATGTAATGTGCAACACCAGGAATGAATTCTAGGTAAGCTGTGGACTCTGGGTGATAACGATGTGGCAATGTAGGCTCATGGTTGGTAACAAATGCACCACGCTCATGGAGAAGGTTGATACTGAGGGAAGCTATGCCTATGTGAGGAGAGAGTAGGTGGGACATCTCTGTACCTTTTGCTCAATTTCAGTGAACCTAAAACTACTCAAAAAATAAAATCAATTTAAGAAAAAAACACCTTATGCCTCTGTACTTAACAGTATTAGGTTTGAGGCGCAAATAATTAGAAATAAGTTTTCCCTTGCAGGAACATCTATACTAATAATATCTATACTAATAAAAGGGTAATATGAAAATTGGTCAGGACACCCTCAAAGTATCGACCGAATAGCAGGCTGTGTGGGGTGACAAGGATGGCAGGGGGGTTAGTGAGGGATGACAAAACATATGAACAGCAGGCTGCGTGGGGGCAGTTAGGGGCAACCAGGCCAGTAGGGGGTGCAGTAAGGGGTGACCAGGCTGTTGTGTGTGTGGGGGTGGAGTTAGGGGTGACCAGGTTGGTGGGTGGGGGCAGTTAGAGGTAACCAGGCCGGGGGGGGGGGGGGGGGTAGGGGGGGGGCAGGGGAACAGTTGGGAGCAAGCAGGCAGGCAGGGAAGTAGTAAGGGGCAACCAGGCCAGGGGGGGGGGCAGTTAGGGGTGAAGGCCTTTTATTATAATAGAAGAAAAATGCTGTTTGTGGTATACTAAAATTAATTCAGTCTCAATAAAGAGCCCTGAATCAACAAATACTCCAATTCTTAAATTTATTTAAGTAGTAAAAACACTTTTTCTCATTGTTTAAAAAATATAGTAAAATAATTTTACTAATGGTTATGATCCAAGTAAGGGTCATCAGAGCCTGAAGGAAAAGGCTTTTAATGTAAAAAATAATTTTTTAAAATTCTCCTTAGGCATAAAAATAACCCCACAGGGGATAGCAGACTTATCCACAAAAAGACAGGCATTCATTGATCCTGGCAGATAGTAGGTGCTCAATAAATCTTTTTAAAAATGTATTTTATTACTTTTTTTTACAGAGAGGAAAGGAGAGGGATAGAGGATTAGAAACATGGATGAGAGAGAGAGAATCACTGATCAGCTGCCTCTTGCACACCTCCTACTGGAGATGTGCCCGCAACCAATGTACATGCCCCTGACCGGAATCGAACCTGGGACCTTTCAAACCGCAGGCCGACGGTCTATCCATTGAGCCAAACCGGTTTCAGCTCAATAAATCTTTTTGTGGCATTTATATGATAGCAGTGGCAAGAAAACTTAAGAGAAAAAAGTAAAGACAAACATTTTTAGGAATTTTAGATTCACAAAATACTGATGTTGGAAAAGATTTCAGAGATCTTCCCAGCCTCTCTGTTCCTCTAACTCCACCGGTCCTCAACCCTGAGGTTCCCACCAGCCCCACACTGGGAGGTGAGTAAGGCCCAGTCCTAGAGCTGTGCCCTCTGAGGCACCCAACTCTCCTCTGGAGCAGAGGAGCGGCCTTTTCCTGGGCACTGCAAGAGGACTTTGCTTCTGCCTCTTCTAAATGCTAGCTCTCCCCCGCCCCCCAGCGCCCCTCGACTCAAAAGTCTAGTTAATGTATAGTAGTCGTTATTACTAATTCGAGATATAGACAATGGTATACATATTTTCATTTAATATGATAGCTCTTTTCTTTCAGGGAAAATGATACTCGATTTACTTATGACTTTAAACTCTGCTATTTTTCTTCTATCATATTAGGTCTCTTTTCAGTAAATTAATAATAATATAATGACAACATTAAATTTACATATTTCTTGCTATGAACCAGTCTCTTAAGAGTTTTATGTTCTCATTTGATCTTGGCAACAACATTATTAATTTAATACCATCATTTGTCCTCACTTGCAGATGAAGCAAGAAGATACAGAAAAGTGTAGTGACTTGCTGTTAGCCACACAGCTAAGGGTGGTACATTTACTAGTCTGAAATAAAATGCATAGATTACATAACCCTCACATACATAATTTTTAAAGTATTTATGCTTTTTTCAATTATAGTTGATACAATATTATATTAATTTCTGGTGTACAGCAAAGTGATTAAACACTTATATAACTTACAAAGTGCTCATCCCATAAATCTAGTATCTAACTGACACCATGCATAGTTATTGCAATATTATTCCACATAATTTAAGTATATATTATGCTCTTAAATATCATGCTATACTATCTTTCGAGAGTTTTTCTACTTTAACAGTAATTTTTAATTATTAAAACAAATTGCTGCTATATTAGTTGTCACTGGATACATTCAACTGAGTGATCTAATGGGTATATTTAAAATTTATAATATGCTAGAAATGATTTATTTTGCAAATATTATATAAATGATGAAAAACTTCACTTTAAAACTTTATTTTTCAATTATAGCTTACATTCAATATTGGTTTACATTAGTTTCAGGTGTACAGCATGGTAGTTACATAATCATATACTTTACAAAATCATGCCCCATATTTCAAGTACCCTCCTGGTTCCATACATAGTTATTAGAATATTATTGACTGTATTCCCTACACTTCACTTTACATCCCCGTGACTATTTGTAACTACTAATTTATACTTTTTAATCCTTTCACCTTTTTTATCCAGTCTCCTCCCCCTTCTCTCATCTGGAACCAACTTTCTGCTCCCTGTATCTATGAGTCTGTTTCTATTTTGTGTGCTCATTTATTTTGTTCTTTAGATTCCACGTGTTTGGAATAGGTTTTCATATGGTATTTGTCTTTCTCTAACTTATTTCACTTAGCTTAAATTGCAGACAGATCATGAGAATTCTCATGTTTTCATATTATACAGTGCTTTACAAAGTATCATACTTTAAAAATGCATTAGCTTGTAAGAACATGTAATAGATAACTTCAAAATGCAATGGGCATTTAATTTTAAGGCGTGCCTTTAACATTTATGTAAAACATTTTTTGTATTCATTCTGTAGAAACTTACCTGGCCACTGGATAAAGCTAGCAATTAAACTACTGGTCTGCAATGTGTTAATGCCTTCTAGGTCCAACCATGCTATCATAATGTTAAGATTTCATTTCTTAATGGTCAAGTAATATTCCACTGTATAATGTATCATCGCTTTTTTATCCATGTGTCTATTGATGGGCACTTGGGCTGCTTCCATATTTTGGCTATTGTAAATAATGCTGCAATGAACATAGAGGTGCCTATACATTTTCAAATTAGTGTTTTGGGTTTCTTAGGATATATACTCAGAAGTAGAACCACTGGGTCACAAGGTAGTTTAATTTTTAAATTTCTTAGAAACATCCATACTGTTTTCCATAGTGGCTGCTCCAATCTGCATTCCCACCAACAGTGCACGAGGGGTCCCTTTTATAGTAAAAACTTTGGATGTGAAGTTAAAAATCTGTGGGGAGAATGTTGTGTTTGTTTGTTTTTTCAAATTCCCTTGGTGCAAAAACGTTTGAAACCACTGCCTAAATATAGAGGTGGCTCCTTTTCACCTTGTATCCTTGGTTGGGAGAGCATGTTACTATATGCTCAATGTCCGATGAGCGGAAAGATAGAATGAAGGGTGAATAATGGATGAATAAATAATTGATTGGGCGATGACTGAAGAGGCAAGATTTACCTAAGATTGCTCCCTGAGAGTGGGGGAGCTTTTATATACTGCAAATATAGATGTGTCCTATCACACTGGGCCACGGAGAAGACAGGGACATGAGAGGAGGCATGGAAGACACTAGTTTAGTTTGCTGTCTTGCACTCTGTGAGGCTCTAAGAGGATATACCAAGTAAGCCACTGCCCCTTCAGGTGGAGAGGAACCTGAATGAGACCCTCCCACCCCAAGCAGACCTAAACCAGACAGCCTGCAGCCACACCAACATGCCTGGCAGCCTGAAGCTGACCTGCCAGGTTGAACCCAGCCTTGATTAGCCCAATTGCAGACTCTGTGCAAATCAGTTTGTGGGAAAATAAAAATGAGCTTGCCCATAAGCCACATCATTTTAGGGGTGGCTCAAAATGCAGCCACATGAGTATATGCTAAGACACCACTTATCTAGCACAGCTCACACTGTATTGCAAGCATCTATTTTTAAATCTGTCTTTCTGACTAGACTGGGAAATACATAGAACAGGAGCCATATCTTATCTATTTTTAGATCTTTGTGCTCTGGCACAGTGCTGGGCACGAAGTAGATGTTCAACACGTTTAAAGATGGGGTGAATAGATCAAAGAATGAAGTGTTACATTATTTCTGAGGTTTCACTCAGTTCGAATAGCAACCACTTGAATACTCACCCCTAGGCTGTGAGTAGGCCTACATATACATGAGGGAGCCTCAGAAATAGACCAGTGATCACCTAGGAAATAGTCCCAGAACATGATGGGCACCGATCATCATTCCCAATGTTCCAAGACTGCACATCTTAACACATAATGCACGTATGAAGAAAATCCTATCCGGGCCTCCAGAAATTAAGATCAGGTTGTAGAAGATTCCCTTCACTCTGAGGATCAGTGATGGCTGCTTAACAGAAATCTACATTAGGCTTGACTTTAATTCGTAAGCACGCACACACACACACACACACACACACACACACACACACACCTTATTTCTTTCTTTGAACATTAAAAATCCCAATTGTGCCTTCTCTATGTTATTCATTTTTAACCCCTGGTTGATGTTTTTGAAGTTGGATGTTTCCAGCATTCTGGTTTATGGGAGAATAATCCAATAGTCCATGAAGCCCAAAGGCCTATCCAAAGGAAAACAATTCTGGTCTACTTATTTAAGTTTCACTGATTCTGTTTCGCATCAAGAGATTTAGCCTCATGATGACAACAAAATGTTAAATGTTATCAGGAAAGGCTAGAATTCAGAAAGTTATCCTCAGTTGGTTAACTTTAATCTCTTATTTTGTTTTTCTACAAAGACTAAATAGAGCTTAAAAAAGAATATAAACTATGGGATTATTTTTTCAAGAAAAAATTACATGAAGTGGAGAGTTTGTTGCTAAGTCTTTCAAAATAACCAAATTAGTTTTGCAAGTGTACATAATACTCAATATTTGCCTATTTTCTTGCACTGGCTTACTAAATACCCTCCAGTCTAAGGATCAGAAAGGCATGTAGTACATTATGCCTTTAAGTATCTCATTGCTGGAGGATGATGTGAAGCTAATAAACATAAAAAGTATCTTAGTGCAATTTATAATGGGTGCCATGTCATTAATAAAAGGAGAATGCTCCTCTGTTCATTTTATCCCTCCACTGAGCTCTAGGTTCACACAGCAATATCCATCTTCCTACTAAGATGTGTTACAGGCTTCTCCAAGATAACAAGGTCAGAAACTCTGGGTACAGCCCTCAAAGCTGTCCCTCCTATCACTGTTCCCATCTTATTAAACACTGTTTTCCTTCCATCAGAGTCATTCTTGATTCCTCTCCTTTAGATGACCCACATCCAATTTATCAGCTATACCTTCAAAATAATCCCAAATATATTGATTTTTCTATGCCCCACCGTCTGCCACTCCCAAACCCAGTAAGCATTATTTCTAACTATGCACCTTATTTCTACTCTTGCTCTATTTTTCCTACAACAACCAGAATGATATTAAACATACTTCAGATGATATCAATTCCCTGCTTAAAAAAATTTTTTTTTTGCAATGAGTTCTATGTGCCTTTAAGACACATAAAATAAAATAAAACTCCACAATCCTTATCAGGGCCTGTGAAGACCAAGTTGAGCTGGTCCCTACCTAAGTCATCAGCATCTTCTCATATTACTCCTCAGAATGACCTTCCTGTCCGTGGTAAAATGACAAGCCCAGAATTGCCATCCTTCCTGCTAACTCTGCAACAAATGCACTGGCCCCAAATGCTTTCATGGATGGGTCTTCTTGTATTATTTAGGTCTCAGCTCAAATCTTGTCTCCTCCTGGTGAGGCTGTCCCAAATCTCCCATTATAAAATAGCCACCACACTTTCCATCATATCACCCTGTCCCTTCTCACTGTCAGAAATTACTTTGAATATGTCCTTACTTACATGTTATCTGTTTCTTCTCCTCTAGAACATGAACACCATGAGAGTAGGGGCCTTTGCCCTCATGCACACTGCTCTACCTTTGGGTTGTAAACAGGGCCTGACAACATAGACAAATAATAAGCATTTCTTGAATGAACGAAAGAACGAATGAATGAATCAGTGATATGAGATAGCACATACTGTTCACGGTTCATGCAAACATACTATTTAAATTATACGAGGACCTTTAAAGTTTCCTTCCTAGAAAGTGTATTAAACACCAAAATCACTCAGCAAGAATATGAAATAGGACCAGTCATAAAGGTTGGTCAAGCTGGCATGAATTAAGCTAACATATTAAAGGTGTTAAATATATTTTATCTAGTCAATAAATGAACTGCAAACAATCCAAAAGCCTTTTTAAGCTCAGGTTTGAAACTCTTCACTAAACGTGTAACTAACGGAATATCAAATAGAAAGATGACTCAAAATTCTCCCCCTCTTGTTACACACTCACTGCGTGATAAATATTGATTGGACACTATGCATGTAAGGTACATTTGAGCAAATAAATGCACAATCAAATGAATGAACCAGCCAAAGGTTTAATAATAAAAGTTAAAAAGAGAGGCATGAACACAGGTTAATCCAAATTGGATAAACAGCTCAGAAAAAAATCAACAACTCTTAAGTCCTTCAATAACAAACCACAAGTGTGCCAGTCATTGGGGTCTAAGAAATGGCTCTAAGAGAAAAAGGTCACGGGCGTAAGATGAATCACATGGCAAAGCACTTAGAGGAAGGAAAAGAAGAGAAAGTTAAATCAGATTAGTCATCACAACCCTACAGTGAGTCCATACAAACTATTTTAAATACCAAGAAAATGTTCCTGGAGCCAAATTAATCGATTAAAAAAACAACGACACTAAGCTTTTGGAAATGCTATGCTTTGGTAAATCAACCAGTCAAGGAAACATAAATAAACAAATAAATGTTTGCCACTTACAAAATGGATTTGTCTTGTTCTCTAGAAGCCTGGCAGGACAAGTAAAAAAGAGCAATAGAGGGAGGAAGGAAGTGTGAATGAATTCTCAAGCCATAGAAACCATTAAGTAATATATTGTTCAGAACCATCAATAGGAAGCTTAAATAGATCCTGTGAGGTCTCACAATTATCTAAAAAAGACTTCAGGCTGAAACCGGTTTGGCTCGGTGCACAGAGCATTGGCCTGCGGACTGAAGGGTCCCAGGTTCGATTCCTATCTAGGGCATGTACCTTGGTTGCAGGCACATCCCCAGTAGGGGGTGTGAAGAGGCAGCTGATGGATGTTTCTCTCTCATCGATGTTTCTAACTCTCTATCTCTCTCTCTTCCTCTCTGTGAAAAATCAATAAAATATATTTTAAAAAAAGACTTCATAACCACCACTAATTTTTCCCACATTTGAATGAACCTAAGTTGCATAAAAATAATAACAAACATCTTGCAGATTCAAGAGACTTGCCTAAGTCATCTATTTATGATATATTACAAAATCAGGGGAAATATCAATTCAGTACTTTGTACATATTTTCAAGTCCCTATAATATTCAGATGACACATTTAGCATTTCAAATTTGGAAGATAATTTTACATTTTAATTTTTAATTTTCCTATGCTCGTTCCACACTCAGTTATTGGTTAACTAAATTAATTATACATGGTAAAAAAAAAAAACAACAACAAAAAAAAAAACTGAAAGCAAAACCTCAGTTATTCAAGTCCTTTGAAGCCTAAAACATTTGGAATCTCAGAATACTCCCTGACATTTCATTTTGCAAGAAGTCTAAACAACTACAATAAATTTACACATGCAGACATGCCACAGTTAAATTTCATTTCACGCTTAGTAAGCAAACATTATCAAACTATAAGCACTGTCCTCCACTATCTTTTTAACTCAAAATCTTGTAACCAATGTTTGGTCGACCTTGAAATATTTCACAGATGGATGAATTGGCTTAGTTTATTCATCAATTTGCAGGCTAGCAAACTTAGGCTGCAAGTATTACACTGAGCAGGTGGCTCTATGCTTTATTTCATAAACAACACAAATAATTAGTGATGAGACAGAAGCAAATTAGAGACCCAATTAGGAATTGTTCAGGGGAAAAGTTTTCTAACAATAATGAGTATTTCTTTCTGCATTCAAATTTCTTTAGAAACATGCTTCCACTTTCCTTTCTTCATGGCAAATTTCTTTAAACAGTTGGCATTTATTTCAACGAAAGCAGGAAAACATTTCATTGAAGAAATCATCAGGTTATCCAGGCTTTGTGAAACTATGAGGACTGAATGCAGTAGAGCACCAGGTGACTTTATTTACCTGAGTTACTGGATTAGATATAAAGAGGAAGCTCTTTTCACTTAAACATGTTTCATTTTCTAGTACTGCCAATTATTTTGTTGTTCTGCATATATCAGTTACTCAATAAATGTAATAAAGGTACAACATTAAACACAAGGAAAATAAAGTCAGTATACTTTATAGTCTTTTAAAAAAATATATTTTAATGATTTTTTACAGAGAGGAAGAGAGAGGGATAGTTAGAAACAACGATGAGAGAGAATAATTGATCAGCTGCCTCTTGCACACCCCCTACTGGGGATGTGCCCGAAACTAAGGCACATGCCCTTGACCGGAATCGAACCCTGAACCCTTTGATCCACAGGCTGATGCTCTATCCCACTGAGCCAAACCGGTTTCAGCATACTTTATAGTCTTGATGACAAAATCCCACTTAGCATATGAGAATCTTCTGTTCAACTTTTACTATTCTGTTTAAAAATTGTTACACGGTATCAGCTTTCAATCACAAATGATTAAAAAGGCAAATTATTGATGCCAATTTTATATCAGGGGAATATTTTTTTGACTAATCAAACACTAACGCTGACAATTGTGAACTGAAGAGATTTTTTTAAGTTGTCATGCACATTATTACCAGTAGGGAAGCTTAATCCTGTAGAACCCAAGGTAATAGTTTTAGTCATGATTTGAACCTAATGCTAGTGGGCAATGTTAACTCACTTATTCATATCCATATTGACTTTTTCTTTCATGTCACTGGTGCATCACTGAGTAAATTTCTTTTCATGAACTGTACCCTAGTGACTTCAAACTTTAAAGAAGTAATGTCACTCTTTCTGCTATCTGGGGACCTGTGGAGCTGCTGGGATCAAGACTTCAGTAATGACAAATAAGTCTGGAAGGCTGTGCTCCAAGGCCATTCCTGCTGGCTACAAGCAGGGCCTCCAGAGGGAGCACACAGAACCAGAGGGAGCACGCAGCTCTTCTTAAAATGGAAGGTGTTTATGTTCAAGATGAAGCTGAATTCTATCTATGCACTCTTGGTCGTATGTACAAAGCAAAGAACAACGCGGTGACTCCCGGTGGCAAACTGAACAAAACCAGAGTCATCTGGGAACAGGGAGCTGGCACTCATGGAAACAGTGGCATGTTTCATGCTAAATTCTGAAGCAATCTTCCTGCTAAGCCCATCGGGCCATCTTATGATGCTGTAACCCTCAAGGATTTAAACTTCTTGAAAAGTAAATAAATAAAATGGATTTGTTTTCTTGGTAAAAAAAAAAAAAAAAAAAAAGTGATGTCATTATTTTAGTGATGTAGTTAATATTGAAGTCCTGTTCAAAACCCACCTCGGGACAACAGATATCTAAGGACTCTTTTTGTAAGGCATTATTAAAGAAACAGAATTCAATGATTTTTATACAGTAACTAGAGGCCTGGTGCATGAAATAGGTGCATGGAGGTGGGGGTCCCCTCAGCCCAGCTTGCACCCTCTCCAATCTGGGACCCCTGAGGAGATGTTTGACTGCCGATTTAGGTCCAATCCTAGAGACTGAGCCTAAACCAGTGGTCGGACATTCCTTTCACAATCCTGGACCACTGGCTCCTAATCGCTCACCTGCCTGCCTGCCTAGTTGCCTCTTACTGCCCACCCCCCCCCCCAATGCCAGCCTGATCATCCTTCCCTGCTTCTGCATGCTGGCCTGCCTGATTGCCCCCCTGCCAGCCAGGTCACCCTAACTGCCCCCTCCCTGCCAGTCTGGTTGCTCCTAACTGCCCCCTCTGCTAGCCTGGTAATTCCTTACTGCCCCCTTGCCAGCTTTGGTCACCCCTGCCCGCCCCCACCAGCTTAGTTCCCCCTACTGCTTCTCCTGCCAGCCTAATCACCCCCAACTGCACCCTCTGCTGGCCTGGTCACCCCCAACTTCCCCCGTGCCTGCCTGGTTGCCCCTCATTGCTCCCCACACAGCCTGCTTGTTCAGTCATTTGGTCATCCCTCACTAATCCCCTTACCGGTTGTAGGCAGCCATCTTGTGAGGGTGTGATGACCAATTTGCATATTACCTCTTTATTAAATAGGGTGGCTGTCAAAGTTTAACTCACAGAATATGTTCATTATCCCTATTATATCTGCTCTTCACATCACCTTGCAATCATCAGCTTACTTAACTGTAAGTACCTTATTTACTTAACTGTAAGTACCTTAACTGTAGGTTGAATGACTAAGCATATACAGTATATCTCCTTATATTCATTGACTCTTTCAAAAAAATTTGCTGAATGCCTACTATGTGAGCAGTTGCACTGAGGCTATCAAACAAAACAAAAAGCAGACAATGACCATAGCTTAATGAAGCTTATATTCTTGGTGGAGGGCAATGACAGTTTATTAAAAAATGTTAAAATAAATAAATAAAAAAATCAGTAAGTCAAAACCAATTTGGCTCAATGGATAGAGTGTCGGCCTGTGGACTGAAAGGACCCAGGTTCAATTCCAGTCAAGGGCATGTACCTTGGTTGTGGGCACACCTCAGTGGAGAGTCTGCAAGAGGCAGCTGATTGATGATTCGATGTTTCTAGCTCTCTATCCCTCTCCCTTCCTCTCTGTAAAAAAATCAATAAAATATATATATTTTAAAAATAAGTAAGAGGTCCTACATTGGCTATTTATGATCTTGATGGCAATATGCAAATTGACCATCATTCATTCCAACACACAAGACGGCTGTCCCCATGTGGTCAAAGATGGCTGCCACAAGATGGCCAGAGGGGAGGGCAGTTGTGGGCTATCAGACCATCAGGGGAGGGTAGTTGTGGGGAGGTGGGGGGTCCAGGACTGCAAGGGTGGGCAGTTGGGGTAACCAGGCCAACAGGGGAGGGCAGTTGGAGGTACCAGGCCTGAAGGGGAAGGCAGTTGGGAGTGATCAGGCCTAAAAAGGAGGGCCATTGGGGGGGAGGGGGACCCAGGCCAGCAGGGGAGGGCAGTTAGGCATTGATGAGGCTGGCAGGGGAGTGGTTAGAGGGTGATCAGGCTGGCAGGCTGAAGAGGTTAGGGGCAATCAGGCAGGCAGGCAGGCAGGTGAGCAGTTGGCAGCCAGCAATCCTGGATTGTGGGAGGGATGTCCCAGATTGGAGAGGGTGCAGGTTAATACACCCCTCCCCCATGCACAAATTTCATGCACCAAGCCTCCAGAAGGAAAAGTTATACCTCACTATAAGACATCTCATCAGTGATTCTCTAGGGCAGTGGTCGGCAAATTCATTAGTCAACAGAGCCAAATATCAATAGTACAATGATTGAAATTTCTTTTGGGAGCTGAAAACAGACTTCTGTGCATGGGCCACGAAGTTTCAATCACACTGTATGTGCGTGCCCACATGGTATTTTGTGGAAGAGCCACACTCAAGGGGCCAAAGAGCCTCATGTGGCTCACATGCTGCAGTTTGCCAACCACTGTTCTAGGGGAAGGGTTCATAAGAGAGAAGTGTCAGAATCACATAGGGAGGAGTTTTTTTTTAAAGCACAGTGACCCTTAAACATGCAGGTCAGGGATTCCCTCCTTCAGGAAGGCTTGTCTTCTGCTCCCCTTCTCCCAACTCCTCCAAGGGGTCTAGACTTGGGAGTGACAGCATCCTGAGCTTACTTTGCTCATTAGGACACTGGTTCAGGTGTTTTAACAAATAAGTAAGGGTGCTTAACCAAGACAGATGGCTTAATTATTTCTTACATTAGGGTCTGAGCTGGTTAGAGGTTGGGAGAAGGTAGGTAGCGTGCCATATAAAACCATCGGGGTGACTGGGTATGCTGTCCTCATGCTCCTGGGTGTGATTCACCACTGTCATAGCCAAGTTTCAGCCCGATGGCAAGGGAAAATAGATAGCACAGTTGCCTTTTAAGAACCAAATGCATAAGTTGCACATATTACTTGATCTCCATGCCACTGTTATATGGCCACACCTTAGTGCAAAGGAGGAAAGAAGGGTAATGTGATTCTCTAGCTGGAAGGCCAGGTGCCTGGCCAGAACATGGGAGTTTCTATTAATAAAGAATGGGTGAATGAGTATTGGAGGATTACCAATTTATCTCCCCTCATTTATTTTATTATAGCATTATTATTCTCTGTTGTAATTGAGACCTGTTGGGACTGATCTCAAAGTCTGTTAAGCAGTGTTCTATCCATTTGTACTTCCCTGTAATCTAGCATAGACCTTGATCTCTAGTGGGCACTCATTTCCTGTACTATGCACTCTGTAGAAATTTCTCTTTCTTTGTACAACAACCTAGTGAGGAAGGTTTGACAATCTCATTTTATATGTGGCTGACTCTTAAACTAACCCACTAAAGACAATAAATTATGGATTCAGTATTGGAAATAAACTTCATATGACTCCTCAAATCCTTTCCTTTTACAACAAACCATGCAGGTGTATTTTATGTAAACAACAAAACTTGGAACTACGATTTTAAAATATAGCTCAACACCTTTCGTTAGAGATGTGTTAGAATTTTCAGATGATTATAGTAACATTAACAGCCTTATATGTATCCTATATGCAAATTTCCTGAATGACGAGAAATAAAAATTCAAATGGGAAAGTTTTTGAAGTTCTTATAAAATCTTGAAAACATAACACACACACACACAAAAACAAACAAACAAACAAAAACAAAACAAACAAACAAACAAAAACTAGAACCTGCTGAAACCGGTTTGGCTCAGTGGTAGAGCGTCGGTCTGCGGACTGAAAGGTCCCAGGTTCGATTTCGGTCAAGTGCATGTACCTGGGTTGTGGGCACATCCCCAGTAGGGGGTGTGCAAGAGGCAGCTAATCAATGTTTCTCTCTCATCAACATTTCTAGTTCTCTATATCTCTCCCTTCCTCTCTGTAAAAAAATCAATAAAATATATTAAAAAAAATAAAAGTCAATAAAACATATTTTAAAAAAAACAAAACAAAACTAGAACCTCAGCCACTTATTCTCCTTACATATTATGTTATTTGCTTCATGATTAGGGTGTCAGCATTTATATACTAAACTTGAGAGCTGTAATATTTATAGTAATATTGAATTTTTATCTTACTGTGGTAAAAACACTTAGCATGCAATCTACCCTCTTGACAAATTCTTAAATTTACAATACAATATTATTAACTATAAGGCACAATATTGTAGAGAATATCCTCACAACTTATTCATCCTACATAACTGAAACTTGTCAATGGGAATGCAAACTTGTCCTGCCCTTATGGAAACCAATATGAAGTTTCTTCCAAAACTAAAAAATGAATCTACCATGTGACCCAGCAACTCTGGGTCTTTATCTGGGAAAGTGAAGAAGCCCTCAGGGCAATCAGGGCCAGCAACTCTGGGTCTTTATCCAAAATGTATGAAATCAGGATTTCAAAGAGATATTAGCACTGCCATATTCACTGCAGCACTAGTCACAATAACCAAGACA